AAGTATTTTAAACTGTATAAAAAAAATTGAAATCAATTGTGAAAATCCATTCCTTATATAGGACGTTCTCTCCTGTTGCCGTAACACATACCAATTGCGTGCATCAAACTGGCGAAATATTACTTAAGGAGAGATCGGTCCATATTAAGATCTCAAGCTTTTTATTATATTTCTAAGCGAAAATTATACCTAAAGAATTACATACAAGGAAGGGAAGATTAATTCAAAATGAGCTCCCGATTGAAAAAGCCCCATTGATGCTAAATGTCACGCGACTGAGATTGGTATTTTATTATTAATACGAATGTGCATTCGTGTAACGTAAATATTAATTTTGAATAGAGTACCTTCCAAGTTTTCCTTCTATAAAAAAACTTTTTTTTTTATTCAAATACATTTTATATTTATTAACTTTAAAAAAAATAAAAAATATACAATGTTAGACTATAATATTATTACTTGTACGAATAAACCTACCGAAGATGACGATGGTAATTTCCAAGGTTGGTTATTAACAATATTGTCTGGAGTTGCCTGTTGTATTGGTGGTAGGTTAAGTATTCAGTTTGCTTTTTTATTATTAATTTATTCTTTTTATAAATAAAATAAAATAATTTATAATCAAACGTTGATAAGAAAAAATTTTATTTTTCTATTTTTCTTTTCTTTAGCTTCTGTCGTTTTTTCAGACATAATATTTCAAAGGTTTTTATCTGCACGGTATATGCAAATCACTAATAATAAATTTTTTTTGGTTGCTTCTTTATCACTTGGATCTGGCGTGATGGTAAATTATTTATTTATTATTGATTCCAATATTTTATATTTTTGATTTTATTAAATTATTATTTTTTGATTTTTTTGGGGAAAAGTTATTTACAAGTTTACACACGTTATTTCAAGAATCTGAAAAAAGTTTTAAAAAAGCAAAAGTTTACCGAGAATATTCAGGATTGTTCTTGATAGTATTCTATTTTCTTGGAGTTACCGGTTCAGCAATAATCAATAAAATAATTCATATCTTTGTAAATGAAGATAGCTTTATACATTCTCACGGACATCAACATACTCAACATACTCACCACAACCATCGACAACGCCACCACAACCAGCAAGATCATACTATTGTAAAAAATAAAAAAATTAATAGCCCTCTTATTTATAAGAATGAAGAAATTGATAATGATGATGAAATATTACATGAAGGTTCTCCACTATTAAAAAACAAAAATATTACATATTATGCCAATGCAAAGGATTGTAATGATATTAAACATTTAAAAAATAGTGATGGTTGCGACGAATCAAATTGTTCCAACAAACATTGTGTTTGTATCGTCGAAAGTGATACAGACGACACAGTTAATGCAAATAGGAATCATAATCATGATCATGATGATGATGACGATGATGAGGACGATGATGATTACGATGATGATGATAAAGATGAACGTCGACATCATCACCATCATCATCACCATCTTCCTCCTCGTAATGAAAATTCAAAAGATGAAAAAGAAAAATCTCAATTAATGCATATAGGTATTCAAACAGCCTTAGCTATATCCATACATAAATTTCCAGGTAAATATATTATTATAAAAGAATAAAAGTTTCTAATATAATTTAAAGTTTTTTAATTGATGTCATGTATTATATGTATTATGTAGAGGGTCTTGTAACGTTTATAACATCAAAAGTATCACCAACCATTGGTTTTACATTATTTTTTGCCATCGCTTTACATAACATTTCCGAGGGTTTCACCATAGCCTTGCCACTATATATGGCAACACGCTCACGGATTAAAAGTTTTTTATATGCATCTTTGTTGGGTGGATTAAGTCAACCTTTAGGTGCATTAATTGGATATTTATTTTTAAAAGAATCCCAGCTTAGATGTTGGGATCATAACTTTGTTTACGGTACTTTGTTTGCTGCTGTTAGCGGGTTAATGAGTGTTATTTGCGTACAGGTTAGTAAGCAAAAAAAAAAGGATAATATATTTTATTTTATTCAAGAGAGAAAATTTATTAATATTTCCTATATAATATTAGGGTTTATTACCACAAGCAATAAAAAATGACACTTCAAATGGCCATACTGTAACCATATTCTTTTTTATTGGTGTATTAATTATGGGAATAAGTTCTGCTTTATTTGATCATGCAAAGTATGTTCCTGAGTGATCATAATATTCAAATTTATATATATATTTATATATTTCTTTGTAATATAATAAAATTCAAAATTGGTATTTAAAAAATATTTTTTATTTTTTATCTTTAATTTTTTCTTTCTATTTGATTATATAGATGTTTTTTTTCAATGTAAATCATTTTGCAAAAAATAAAAAATAAAAAATCATTAACTCTTTTTATGATATGTTTATCAAAGATGTCTTGCTTCACGTTCGGATTCTAAAAAGACATAAAACATCATTTTCACGAACAGGTCCTTTGACATTACGGATGATAGAACGATTGTATCGTCCATATATTCCAAGTTACCTCTTGAATCGGTATGATCAACTTTAACAACTTTGGCGAGCTTGACTTGTTGTTTAGCATCCTTTTTAGTGAAAATTTTTTAATTGAATGACTAAATTCAACAATAAATAATAACAATAATGATAATATATGATAATAGCATTGGTAGTAAACAGTAATTTGATTGATGGATGGATTGATAAAGTTAAAGATGGAAAATTTTTTTTTTGTTTTACGCTGCGTAAATTTTTTAATGATCGCGTCTTAAAAAGATAAAAATCATGTTCACAGTCAAACCTTTGTCACAGCGGATGAACAGAAAATTTTATTCAAAATTCGTTGTGATTACTAATTATAATTACAATAATATTGCCAGAACAGATTTTTATATATGAGTATGACTGTATAGCTATTGATCAACTTGTATATTTATTTGATACGATAAAAATGTCAATATTGATAGCAATGACAAAGTTTTATTTGAAGACGTTATAAAATATTCCAGTAGAAATTTTATTATTATTATATCTAAGAAATTTTATCATATATGACTTGAGAAAAAATTAAAACCAATTGTCGTATATATATCTTTGGGGTATCTAATTAGCACACGAACACCTCGAGGACCAACTTTGCAATAAAAAAATTAATAAAAATTTTTATTTATTTAATGAATTATAATAATATATTTACTTTGCGACCAAACGCCCCGCTCAGTTAGATCAATACCACCGTCTCCGGAATGCCTATAAATTAAAAAAAAAATAAAAAAAAAATAAGTATTTGTGTCATCATCGTCAAGAAGCAAAATGAACGTTCATGGCAAACCGTTCACCATATTTACCTGACTGACAACTTTCACAAGCTACGGCCACGATATGCTTTCAATTTAAATCCTAGTGACAGCGTAACTTCAGATATACGACAACCAAACAACTACCTATTGGTGAGAATTACTCGCTCGGTTCTACCAAGGCCTAATGCAACTCGAATTTTTTTCTTTTAAGAACAGAAATTTGATCGTTGCGACAAGCCAAATTCGAATATTTACTTCATGGTACATACATTTATTTTCCTTTGTGAGATAAACTCTTGACGTAAATAGCTTTGCGTTATCTGACTTGGTAGGAAAACTTTTAAAAAGGACGGTATATCGAAGTTATAGATATTTATCGTTTTTTATTTGATTCATTTGTGGAACACAAATCCAAAAAGGAAATTTCTGTATATCTCACCTTTATAAATTAAACAAGTTTTAATACCTACCACTATTTGGTGAATTCTTTCTGTTGCTTCTTGCTTAAATTCAACTTCCTCTTCTTCACTTACTTCTCCTAGATTTTTAATTCAGTAATTTCTTGTTCTTTATTGGATAATTGCTTTTTCAATGTTTAATTTCGTTGATTAGTTCTTGATTTGCTTGTTGTTGTTCTTTTAAGATGTTTAACATGGTTTTTTTGATGGTTCCTTTTTTATTTATTCTTTTAATATATTTATATCCTTAGGACAAACATAACAGCCTGGTGGTTTGATTGGCATAGTGGTGTAGCCTTGGTTTCCATGCAATTTTTTTTTTATTATATAATTAATTCTGAACCATTTTATTTTACAGCTTTCTCCTTGATGCCAGTGATCACAATAGGAGTGGGCAGAATCAAACTGCCATCTTTATACTTGTGAGTTACATGCTCTCATTGAGCTACACTCCTTTAACCTAGGGTAGGAGGTTATATGGGCAAAAGCCCCATTTAGAAAAATAACAAATTAAGTTGATTAAATAAGATTAAAGAGACAGAAATTTATGGGAATGATTAATTTATAACATAACGGGTCTGATTCATTTCGTCAACACCTATTCATCAAAAGTTTGTTTCATCAAAAGTTCATTTCGTCAAATGTTCATTTCATCGAAAATTATTTCGTCACAAAAAAAAAAAAACTTCATTAAACAAATTTCTCCTCACACTTCCCACACACTCTGCTTTCCTCACCTAATTTCTTAACTAACTTCCCACACTCCTCACATCTAACTCGTTCAGTCTCTGACTTGAGGATGAAATAATTTTTGATGAAATGAACATTCAACAAAATGAACATTCGATGAAACAAACTTTCGGGTGTCAACAAAATGATTGTTGAAGAAGTAAACATGACCGATGCAGAGATCCACATAAAACACATTTTTGGAATGCCACACCCATAAAGTTATCATTAAGTGAAAAATTATTTATTTATTTTCCAATTAAAATCAAATAATAATATTATTAATGATTAGCATAAAATAAATGTAATCTAGTTTAAAAATCCTAAATCTTGATATTTTCTTATCAATTTGTCAAGATCACTATATTCTTCTAATAATCCTTCAAATTTTATTGTAAAAGGTTTGGGTCCTTTCCTGTTCTTCATTAGATTATCAAAAGAATTGTCACTAATATTAAAAACAGCAATATTAAAAATTATTGATTTTAATTTTTTTGGTAATGTCTGACCTAAAACTGCTAAAATTCTATCACCATCTATGTATTGCTGCAAAAACTAGTTTAAATATACTTTGTAACTTAGTACAATTGTTGAATATCTCCATTAATTCCTGATCTATTTCATCCTTGATAAGTCTACTAGATTTTTACAATTGATTGAAATAGCTTTCCCAAAAGTTCATTATTGTATATAGTAACACAAAAATCCAGATATTTAAGAGTTTTCCATTGATGTCAATAAAATCAGATAATTCTGATAGAAATGATTGATTAAGAATACATCCATTCCGTATCTAAAAATTTATTCCGTATCAAATATAGGGAAATTCTTATACATTCCATATGTTTATTTTCTATAGGGAAGTTCAACACTGTTTATTTCGATTATTATTATTATAATTTTAAAAAAAAAAGGATTTTCAAAAGGCAGCAAAGTATCATGTTAACTTGTTCACCACACATATGAATTGATCAACAAAGGAGTTCCAATTTTTCTAGATTCGATTTCCAAATTTGGTAATAATCCTGACTGTATTGTTATAATCTATTCAGAAATAAATTAAGTAAATTTTACATCTATAAAAAGTAAACAAAATACAAATCACTACACATGATTTGTTAAAGCAAAATAATAACATTTTCTGTTTATGGTCAACAATGTGTAGAAAAATTCATTGGTAAAGGTAGTCAATTTTTTATTAACTTGTTATTATTTCATTTATTGTTTGTTTTTAAGTTGTCCTTTATCATTTTGATTATTAATGATGATAAACCAATTTAAATCTAGGCCATAATTATTTTTCATGGGAAGGTTGACCAAATTTTCCAATTTCTCTTCACAAGTTATTGAACTAGTGTTCCATGTCGCAATCCAAAAAAGGAAACCAAAGTGGTCGCAAAGGTGGTTGCAACTAGGTGTCACAAACCATTTTTATATGTCGCAAATATGGTTGCAACCATCACCAAGAATTGCGACCAGCATCTATATATTGAACAATCATATCTTTTAAATCATTTACCTAAAACTATTCCATTGATTCATCTAAGTTTAATTCCACTCATATACTTTTCTTCAATTTTAAAATAGATGAAAACCTACAAAGTGAACATGAAATTATAAAATTATATATATATAGGGATAGGTGTATATGAAAAGTAATAATAAGTATAATGGTTCTAATGAATATCAAAAGGCAATTGATTTTTTAGAAAAAGGTTGTGATTGTGGTTGTTCTTCAAGAATTCCCAAGGAAGAATTTGCAGAATTAAGGGAGTCCTTTCAAGCCTGAACAAGATATATTTTTGATGGCCCAACTTAAGGCAATGGATGGTGGATCAATAAGCACTAGTAGACGCCTTAAAAAGAAAACTAGATCTAATAAAAGAACTTTCTATCATTGGGATCACAATACACTTCTTTGTCAAGAAACTTACCTCAATATGTTGGGGATTGGCAGGACTTATTTTGAAAATATCAGAAACCATATAATAAACAATGGACTTATACCAAGAGTTCATGGAAACATAAAAAGAATGCCTCAATGAAAAACAAAGATGGTGATTGATAAAAATGTTGCTGAAATTGTAAAGAATTTTCTGGAAAATTATGCAGTAGTTCATGGATTACCAAGTCCAGGAAGTATCAATAGGATAACCCAATCAGTTATATTCTTACCAGCTGAAATGAGTTATAAACCAGTGTATAGAGATTTTCTGGCTGGTCTAGAAGAAGATAGCAAATTAAAATCTTTGAAATATGATGCTTTCAGAAAGTTGTGACATCAATTGACACTAGAAATTCAAATTATGAGTCCAAGGACTGACTTGTGTGATATTTGTCAACATTTTCGAAATGGTTTACATTACAATGCTCACCAAGAGGAAGAAGCCAAAGATCTGCTCAAAAGATTCAAAGAACATCTGTCCAGGGCAAGATTAGAAAGAAATTATTACAATAAAAATACTAAATTAGCTGAGGAACAAAGAAAATTGAATAATCAAAATTATTCAAAGGGTAAAACACCATATTTCAGTATTGATGCCACTGCACATTATAGTTATGAGTGAGCCCAAAATGTTTATGTGTCTCATTCTGATCAACAAATAAGTAAAATATATTATCTCAGTCCTCATAAAGTCCATTTATTTGGTATTCAAGATGAAGCAGTAAGGGAACAAATTAATTATGTTCTTGATGAAGTTAAAATTATAGGTAAAGGCCCCAATGGTACACTTAGTATGATCTTTGATGGAATTAAGAGATTAAATAAGGGTGAAAAGCATTTAAAGATTACTTGTGTTAATGCTGGGGACAAAATAAAAACAATGTAACAATTTGGTTTTATTTATATTTGGTTATTATGAAACTATTGAATTAAATTTCATGGTCCAGGACATATCAAATTCAAATGTGATGGTAATTTTGGCATGATTAAAAAACTCTACAGAAGAACAAAAGTAGATTGTGTGGGTCATGTGGTTGATGTAGTGAAAAGGTCCAGTCCAGCAGGATTAAATAAAGTTCAATGTTATGAAGGTGGAAAAGGTTTTCAATACTTAGATATT